TAATCGTCGAAAACCGACTGCTTAGTTATATATACGAGTATATATATATATATATGTGTGTGTGTGTGTGTTATATATACATACGTACATACATATATATATATATATTTATGAATATATATGTATGGTTATTTGGCGGAATGAGAAGCAGATTTTAATCGAGCTGCAGAGATAAACATCACAGCCGAGTTTCGAGGCGGCGGCATACATAGTGGGTGGGTGGGTGTGCGGGTGGACAGGGGACATCAGATATTTGATCATAAAACGAAAAACGAAAACGACTGTGGTAAAATACAACCTGCGCCGTACGAATATTTGTATAATAATAACAACGAAATGTGTACCTAAATAAGCAATGCCGGCTCTATGATTTGCAGTTTATAAAAGTGAGCCCCCCCCCCCGCCACAGCCCAATGCGAAAATGCGAAGCCCTGTGAAAAGTTAGCATTTTCTACTCACAACCTTGCGCTGGCCCTTGGGCTCTGCAGCAATAAGAAATAACTAGGGGTACCCAAACTATTTATGTTTCAAATGAGTTGCACTCGTTGCGAAATTCCTATGTCTGACTAACGCGAGTTCAAGCAAAATGCTGCAACACACTTCCCTCGTGCTGTATGTCTAGACGAATTATCTGAGAGTGCGTCCAATTGAAGGGGTCTTTAACTTTTTTGATAGCAAATTTTAGAATTTTTTTTTAGAATAATAGTATTATTATTATACATTTTTGTTTATTATAGGGTTGCTATTGGTTACAAAAATTAATGTAGATGAATAAGAAGACGTTAGCAATAAATTGGTTATTATAATAATAGGTAAATCGATTAAAAAAATTCTTTCACCTATACATATAGCTAGAAATGCGAGAAAAAAATTGTCACTATAATTGACTATAATTTTGGTCTTGTATTACATATGATTGTGTTAAACATATTAAATGGTGTAAATCCACGGGGAATTTGTCGCAGAAATTTTAAAATCGCTTCTATGGGTTATTAAATGATGACGAATTGAACACACATTTTGAATCATATAGAGTTGGTATTTTCAACGGTCAACGAAGTGCACATTATCAACTAGTAAAAATATAAATTACTGATAGCCATATATTTAATACAATACAATATTTTTAAAAACATTATATAGGCTGACGCAGACCGTTTTGCGTTCAGAATCGTCATTCATCTTATACAATGATTTATCATTGAATTCAAATTTAAAACATTCACCTTACAATGATCTATTTAGTGACAAGGAACTTACATTTCACACCTTCCATATTATACAGCAGAGCGGCTTTCTTTTATTTTAGGTTTTTGTCTGTTTGACCTAGAAACGCGTTAACTTTAAACTCCAGTTTCCGACAAAATCTATTTTGTTTTTTTTTTATGCAAGTCAAAAACGAAAAATTTCAAAATTTCAGTACACAGTTACTCATAGGTTATAATACATACAACAACTTACTTGCATGTTCATACAGCGATTTTGTATTATTATTAATGATCGACTATTGGTTCATTCTTCACGAATCACGAGAAAATGAACATTTAAATTATTTTGACTATCTAGAAGGTATATATTAGGAAAGTAAAGTAAAAATAAGCTGAATTCTAATAACTGTAAATCTATTATGCGTTTTAAACTTCCACCTCTTTTAAGGCAACACCGTGAACGTAGATCAAGAGTATTTACGAGTATAAATATAATAATAGTACTCTCAACTATTGTTACATATTGGTAAGAAATAAATTATAATATTAAAGCTACAGTAAGTTCATTTTAATTCCTTAGATGTATCAAATGACAATTCTATGTACAATAATTTTAATGTATTGTGTGATATTGTACATAAGTACTCTGCAGTATCAGCGGTCTTTGAAAGGTCATTTTTGCTCGGACCCCCCCCCCCCTTACACGGGAATTCCCGCGACGTCCAACCACCGAATGTATAATATAGTATTGTAAAATCAGTGTATAATATTATAACGATACCGCCGCCGTTTCGGGTTTAGCGGTTTAGTTGAAAACGTAGAGAAAAAAATTCGAAATCACATCAGACATGTACCCCCCCCCTCCCTCGTACGCATACGAATTACGTGTGCATAATATAATCACAGCACAACTGCACAGAGTTTACGTTTGCAGTTCGCGACGCTTCCGTTTAAGGAGATAATATAATAATATAACAATATACAGCCACTGGCCAGAGTGTTATTGGGGGGGGGGGGGGGGGGGGGGGGGGGGGGGGGGGGGGGGGTCGACTCAGCGACTCGGGACGACTACACGGCTATAATAAGACGGTAATGGTATAAATGTATAATATTGTACAAAAAATAATATTATTATGAACTGGCTGTTGCCAAAAAAACGCAAGCGTCGAAAACCGAAGGCGATCGGAGTGAATAGAGCATATTACTATTGTGAATAAATAATATACGGTGGATGGAAATTGTTTTGCGCACTGCAGAAGCTAAACAATATTATTATGATTATTATACAACGTTGTACGCGTACGCAGTATCTATACTTCTGACGAGAAAACAATGCACATATATGTCACACGGGCAATGGTAATTTGCGAAGCCTATGAGCAGGTAGATATCATATTATTATAAAATATTAACATATTATGTATTTTGCTCCATTTCTTACCTACTCGGATGGTAATACTGCAGGGGGCCACTTTATACTCGATTTAAATTATTGCGATTTGCGTGGCATTGACAAATGAATTGTTATACCAACGTAGGAAACGGATTAATACGTAAGGGCTAGGTCAGGTTTATTCACCATGTACCAATATTTTCTACAGAAGTGTACACTTTCGTAGTGCAAACGTTTACACCACGGTGTCACCGTATTGTGAAATCTGTAGCCTAGATAATACTGGTGTATCTTCCTGTTAATATGTAACCTTCAAATAAAAGTAAATGTTTGTGCCTTATGCTTTTTGATAATTTTACCGATGTTGAGATTTATATAGCCCATTGCAAATTACGTGAATTTAGATTTTTAAATTTACGTTATTGAGAATAAAAATATTTTCAAAATGTTATTACGAAAAAATATGACAAACTAACAGATTAATTCTTTAACCCAATTTCTTTGATATTTACAAATAGTTTTTAAAAATAGATGTGCGGCTTAAACTACCCACATACATGGTTATTGGTCGTAGCAAAGGTTAGATAATATATTATTGATTTTCGGACGTGGCGCATATTACATATTTATAGGCGCTTTTTTAGAGTAATTTTTGGGCCAAATAACAAACTTCCATGCACATCACAGGATTTGCGATGTAAATAAAACCAATTTTGCCAATTATATTATGTTATAGCCGGTATCCGGCCAAAATAGCGAAACAATTACCGCGAATGTAAAAATCGCAAATTGATAATAGCGTAAATAAAAATAGCGAATTGTAAAAAAGAGCGAAAATACATAATAGCGAAGAGAGAAACATCTGTCTGATAAAAATTTGAATGAAATTTATTTCGATTAAAAATTATAATATCGTTAAATTCTTATAATAATTATTTATAGTAGTAATAATAATAATTTTAAATAAAATAATTATATTCAATTTAAATATAATTATGTCTAGGCATTCAGTGACAAATTATATGCTATACCTATTATGAAGTTCCTATTCTTATTAGTATTATAATTTGTAACTAATGCATGAATTCTTTTATTACAGTCCTTGTACTTTTTTTTTCTGTGGTTGTTCTCCAGCATTATACTCCTCTAATTTTAAGTTTCGTTATTATGCATGATCGCTTATTTTAAAATTCGCTGTTTTTATTTACGCTATTATCAATTCTCGGTAAATTGTTTCGCTATTTTGGCCTAGACCCGTTATAGCCATCGGTTCTGTCATCTGCAGCAGTACCTGTGTAAACTACATGAAGTCATTCATATTTAGGGGAGAGCAAAATATGTTGCCTTGGGGTGCAAAATGTTCAAATATAGCTCCAAGCTTACTAAATTGTCAACTTGACATCTAAAGCTAAACTAACACTAGTTGACTCGAGGATGATTTAAAATAACATAACCTGCTTGATAAGTTGTGGACTAGGATATTGTAGTAGTAAAAAACTAGTAAAATTGATGCAACATCGAACAAAAAAATACCAACAATCGCAGTAATTAAGAACAATGTTTTCCATTTATAATTCTCTATTATTCATTTATAAGAAACATTATTCCACTATTAATTTCATCTTTCTTTTTTCTTAAATAGTTTTTAAATTCTACAAAAAAAATTTTAAACGTTGTCTTAACAATCTAAACTGTACACCGACATAATTCAATTAGACTAAAAGAGTTTGTTTTAAACATTCATTTGTCGTCAATTTGAAGCCAATAATAAGTAAAAATATACGAAAAAATAAAATAGTGTGCACCAAGTACAATTATACAAACAGGATTCAAAAATTGTTTTATAAATGAGTAAATTCAAGAAAAATTGCTAAAAATTGCACTTAAAATGTTTAGATTTCAATTTATACTAACAAAAATAACAAAAAAACGAATTTAAAACTTGCTTAGCATTAAATTGCAACAATAGACGAAATGTTGCAGATGCAGCAACATCCTTCACTTATGAGTTTTACTGCAAATTGCATTGTTCTAACATCAGTAATATATTGATAATTATGCAGATTGCATGCTAAATAGAGTTTATTCGTATGCTTTATGTATGTGAGATTTTTTTCAAACCTTTACCAATATAGTTTACTGGCCGAATACGGACATATGGTTACTGTAAAATACAGAATGGCTTACGAAGTTATAATGTATACACACTTATATTGGCCGAAAATGGAAGAGATTATTTCAACCTAAGACATGTTCCGTCCGAACATATTCGGTCAAAATTACCATAAAACGATTGCATGCGGTTTTCTGTGCGCAATGTTGACGTGTATAGCAGCGCAGTATAGAGTCGCTTTACATTTTTCTAAATAATAACTTAACAACTTTTTAATCCAACGAACCTTGGATGACGAACTTGTTGTACACCCGATGGAATTTGGTGCCTGCGTAAGTGCGGCCCTCAATGCCCTCCGTCAGAATGGTGACAAAGTTGGCCACAGTTTTCGGCGCGATTTCGCCGAAAAGACCAATCTCGATCGTACCCAACTCGGTGCCGGCAACCTCCACATCCAAGTACGCCACGTCGGTCACCGTGAAAGTCTGGAGTTCCTATAAATGTAAATAATATTATGTGCGTGTAAGTATATCAAACGCTGTCGCCGTGCTTGGTGCCATAACTTGGAGGTGAATTTTATTTAGGGGTTGAATTCAGGTGTACCTACAACGAGTGTTGGCCAGAAAATTAACAGATGATTAAATAGTTTGTATAAAGACTTCAATCACGATCATTCGATTTAAGGGCATGCAGATTAAGACGATGATGTAATATTGATTAGTTAAAATATAAAAGGTTTAATATAAAAAATGTAGTTAGTAAAATTCATGAAACTCCGTGGATTCATCAAACGTTAACCACGATTGGTTTTGTTTAGCTTTATTTTTATTAGTTACACAATTATTATTTAAGTTTATCCAATGACATTCGTCCACTTTTATTGAAACGTAATTTATTATGAAATTATAGACAGGTCATAGGTGTAATCCTTATAAACTTTATAATCATAGAGTTGTTTGGCACAGAACTGTGTTCAATTTCCATACAGACCTTTAATCATCCCCGCTAGACTGAGCACTAGTATTATTTTGATGATTGCAGTAAGTTCGAGAAGGTGGGTACTATTAAATTGGGTGATGAGTTAAACCAAATCAACAATAAGTTGACTAAAAATTGCTTTTCGATAAAAAAAAGACTTCTATTATTACAAAGAAAAAAAAGTGTAATAATGTAACAATATTATTTGCAATTTTTGACATACTCTTTAACATTTTAAATATATTATAATATTATAATGTATGCATAAATTACAAGTAATTAAAATAAACAAATTCGATAAAATAATCGTTATAGTAATAATTCATTTTCCATAATGTATCATATTGTTTATTTATATAACTATTAAAATGAATAAATTATGTCAAATAATTGTCAAATTAATATTTTGTCAAAGTGATTAAGCAATGTTCATGCAGTTGTTCATCACAATCTTGTTTTTAGCTTAAATATTTACAAAAATTTCTAGTCTAGTAAACGTTTTGCGTTATTGTTCTTACAAGTAAATCGTCATTAAGACTTGTTAAAAAGTATAACTTTTGAACTCGTCACCCGGTTTTACAGGTCCTCCAAATATGTGTTGACATTCAAAAAAATATAAAACTTAAGACAGTGAAACGATAAAAAATTGTAAAAATGAAATTTTTCCCGATTATGTTGTTTCGCAATAATTTATTGTTTCAGAATATTAAAATTATGTAAAAATATTAAAACTTTTTGAGACAATGAGTGTTTAAACACTTCTTAAGTGGGTCACTCATTGTACAATAGAAGTTTATAACAACTATTTTAAATCGAAGAATATAATTGAATATATAGTCGCATAGAGGTGTGTGTGACAAGAGAGTCTGTAGCAATCGTTTTCGAGAGTAAAATAATTTTGACCAAAAAATGAATAGTCCATTTGGATATTCATTTATACCGTTTGGGCGAGTGAAATTATATCTACCCGCGTCGGCGATATACACTTTAAAGCTCGAGTGATTTTGTTATTTTGCAATGGTTCACTGTACACTATACTCCAATATAATACCACTATACCAAGATTACTTATTTTTGAAGCCGGAGTCCATAAAAAATTGTAAATTATACATATTGCATATGATTTTATTCTATTAATTTTTTACTTAATGTAACTTTACTATGTTACAATACTATACCTCCATTGCAACATGGCAGTATTTTTTTAAAGAAATAGAGTTCGTTATTAAGTATCGATTTACTATGGAATACTCAATGTGTTTTTCTATTATTACTTTTTTTCCCCTTTAATTGACAATGTACATTACTCTACAGTTTATCGTCATACATTGATAAACCTTCACCATACTCAGTCGACCAAACGATATTTTTGGCGCGGAATAAACACTCGCCCAAACAGACCACACTTTTGGTCGATTTTCCCAACGATAGTGATGCGACCTACCTGCAGACTACCGATTTTCGACGAGGCGAGAGTTTTCATACCAAGTACCGGTACGCACAAACGCCTTTTGAATAGTAGACGGACTCCGTCGGACCACCCTCAAGTCAAGCTCAGAGTTCATACATCGATATTATTATACTTACGCCAGCCCGGCATCCGCCGACGACGATGGCCACTAACGCGCACACGACCGCGGGGAAATTGAAAACCATCGTTTGCACGCCGCACAGACGACACCGATGCCGAAGGAGGAGACGAAGACAAAAACGACGACGACGACGACGACGACGACGATAATTATTAATATTATTATTGCAATTGTCGTGCACGACGTGTGCTGGACGACGGACTAGACCGAATGGGTCCGCGTAACGTAGGTTCGTGCAGGGTGCAGATTATCGTTTTTCTACGGATTCTTCTGTATATAATACGTTCCGATCGAGGGGATAGAATTACAGCGATTGGGGCACAAAATATAAGACGCAACACCGATACCACTTCTATACTGGCACAGCAACAACAACAACAACAACATATAACGTCGGGCACGTAAACGCATAATGCAGCAGGACTATTTATTATAATGTTATTATATTTATATACTTTAAACAGTCTATAGTAAAAACATCAAACGTTTTTTTTTTCGTTTCCATAATAATATTAATAATAATAATTATACCATAAAATAAGAACATAATAATAATCGCGTTGTACAATATATAATATAATATACGAGGATGGATATTTGTATATATATATAGTTACCGCTTATAACATAAATACTACTTTAACTCGTTAGAATCATAATAATAATAATAATAATAATAATAATAATATTATATTATATAGTAATAATGATAATATATGTAAGAAATAATATAGGTGTTGATTACTCTGAACAATATTAACTAAAAATAATAATAATAATAATAATAATAATAATAATAATATAATAATAATGCAAATAATAGTTAATAAAGAAACAAAACAAACACAATATAATATGAAAACAACGTTTGGAAATGATACATTTTTAAATTGTTTAATTATTCATATTAAAAAAAAAAAATTATACATTAAAACATGATCGATTCTAACATAATATTACATCGTATTACATGAACCTTCATTATGACACGGCATGTAATCGGTATATTATAATATTTAAATTTTATAGTAAACATATAGATGATAATAATCATGATAATTATCATCATCGTCATAATAATAATAATAGTTAATATATGGGGGTGTATACGAAGAATAATAGAGTAATCGTCTTGCAGTACGATAACCGTTTATATAAGTACAGTTTGTAACAGGTTGTTCGTCAACTTCGTAGTCATATTAATATTATAATGAATAATATAACAATATTATAATATTATATTTTATAGGATCGCGATCGCCGGCGAGTTGTAAGCATATATAATATGATAAATGATAATATAATAATAATAATAATAATAATAATAATAATAATAATAAATAAAAATAAAAATAATGATAATAATAATAATAATAAAAGTGTGGTACGACAATCGTACGATTTATAGGTCGGGAGCGAGTTACGCGTCACCTAGGTGACGGTCGCCGTCTTGGCATTTTCCGTGTTGCACTTGTACTCGGTGCTGTTCCGGCAATAGTACTTTTTGTGCGCGATGAACGTGGACAGATAGTTGAACGATATGTCGCACGCCTTGCAGTATTTCGCGGTCACGCCGGTCCGCTTGTTGCCGCCGGCGGTCTGCATCTGCAGCTGTGGCGTCGGCGGCGGCGGCGGGAGCTGTTGCTGCAGCAGGTCGTCAGACGGCGCCGCGGCCGGCAGTTCGTGCTGCTGCTGCTGCTGACGGTAGCCGCCGGTGGCCGGCTCGTCGGTCGTCGGCGGCGCGGCCATGCCGTTGACCGGTTCCTGCTTGACGACCACCAACTCCTTCGGCTCGTCGTTCACTACGACGGCGGCGGCCGCGGCTGTGGACGACGAAGACGACGACGGTGACGGCGACAACGAAGACGACGAGGCCGCGGCGGCTGCGGCGGCTACGGCGGTGGCAGTCCTCACGAGAACGGTGGACGGCGCGGACGGCTTGTCCACGGCATCCGAAGTGGTCGGCGTTTTGGCGCGTCCGTCGACCATCGATGATGCTGAGTTCTCGTCGATCAAGCACGTCACGTAATCTTCTTCCTGCGCAAACAAAAAAGTCAAATTTGTCAGACACTTTACATGATGTTTCAACAGTGGCGTATGCACATAACTGTAGGAGAAAACCAGGGCCGAATTTAGGGGAGGGCGCAGGGGCATCTTTACATAATGGAATTTTTTTTTTATGTCCTGATATATAACTTCATTAGGTACAGCACAGTTTTATAAATTTTAAAATACAAATAGAAATCATAATTATTGGAAAGCAATAAATGTTCAATCGCCCATCGTATTAATTTAGAGTTGTAATAAATGCGTAAAAATAAGTTTAAAAAAATGAGGTTAGTGGATGTCGCTCTACTGTACATTAGGTGTCTAGAAAGTCGCTGTAATGAATGGTATTCAATTTGAGTTCAATGATATAATATTATTGAATGCGGAAAACGATTCTGAGCGGTTATTATATGGTTTAAAAAAATGATGATACATTTTTCAATTTTAAAATCGAAAATAATATAGCTCTTTGGACAAACTTATTGGAATTTCATGACATTGGTTTCGCTCGGAGATGATATAATATTAGCGTCAGACAAAATAGACGGCCGCGTAAGACGATTTTTTTTTAGTGTTGCTACCTTAATAATATTAAAATGATATTGCCAGTTACTGGGATAATATAACATTAAACGTACCAGTTATCACGCACGAACCTATTGGCATATTTTTTCTCAAGAAATCATCTCTGATTATCAATCACATATTACATGATTATTGATTGGTACCCATATCTCAGATGATATTTTCGCAATAATTTGACTGACTTATGATCTATGAACTTGAACAATTATCGATACCGGATCAATGTTAAGTTTTTTTTTAAACAATTATGGCACATAAGATATGTATACTTATATAAAGTCCTAATAAAATAATTTATTTCTATATTATTATATGGAAAAAAAATGTCCATAGGGATAGAGATGGTGTACATCCATCCCTGAGGATTTCTACTTTAAATATGCGCATACAAAATAATATACTTATTTAAAGTGATTCTAATGTATTAAGCATATATACTAACGTTTTGTATATATAACGCAATCATATAGGGAGCGACAAACTTTATTTATCGCGTCGCACAAAAAATATTAGTCGCTAAATGCGGGAACTTGCCCAGTGACTTAAGCAAGTAAGATGATAATATATCATTATAAAAACGAAGCGCTCGGAAAACGGCTCGTTGGGATTATGGCTCACCATGAGATCCGGAATCATCCGCTTGTTGAAGTGCATGCGGATATGCGTTCTGAGACCCCTGAGTGTGTTGCCCTTGTACTGGCAGATGGTGCACACGAACGCCCTTATGCCGTTGTGGTTGTCCAAATGTTTCTGAGCGGCAGACGCACTCGAGCACACGGCGCCACACACCGGACACTTCCAACAGTTGGTCGGCTGACACTGGTGGTGATGTGTCCCGTCGACGGTCATCTGCGGAAAACGTCCGTGGTTAAAGCATGTCATACATACATAGATAGGTATTTTACTCAAATGGGTTATTTTTTTATCGTCATCTACTGTAGTATGCACCGTCCCAGGTCTTACTGTATTTAGTTAGGTATGTACACATCACCATATCAGGGATCACCAATGAAATTGCATTTAGAAATTCGGAAAATTCAGAAAACAACTTGTTCGAGGGCCTTCGGATAGAAGAGTCTACCCTCGCGAGCCGCCGCATCATGAAGGAACTGTCGATGATAAGCCCAAATTTACAACTAATGAAATACGTAATGTCGGTCCCCCGACGCAGACTTTGAAAAATTTGACGGCGATGGCCGTTCCCGCATTGTCAACCCCCGATCCCCATCCCCGATTTAACCCAAGTTCGACACACTTACTTTGCACTTTGGACACTTTGACGGTGGCGGTGCCACCTTATTGTCTGCCGCCGGTTCCTGCAGCGCCACGGCCGTCCTGTTCGGGCAGTAAAATGTCTGATGCGTAGTGAGATTGTCGAATGACGAGAACTTGACGCCGCACGTGGAGCATATGAACTGAATCATGGGCGGCTTAAGCACCGGCGTGGGGCTGACACTGTCCTTGGACGACTGTGGCGACGAAACCGTCAGCGGCTTTGGTCCGGGCGACCCTTCGGGACTCGTCTTGTCCGCTTCACCGTCCCCGCCGTCCGGGGGCGGGCGGGATGCGCAATAGTGCTTCTTGTGGGCCAAGAAGTTCTCGTACTTGCAGAACACAATGTTGCAGCTCTCGCACTTGGACGGGCCCTGTTTCAAGTAGAACTGATGGTGAGCAGGTGGCATGCCACCACCAGCACCATCCTGCGCCGAGTTCGGAGTCAGTCTGAGTGTCATGTCAGGCGCAAAGTACGGCAACACGGCGGCCGGGCTGAGAAGTTCGCTGATGCCGCGCGGCTGGACGCCGGGTGGCATCGGGGCCACGGCGCCTGAGGACAGCAGCGACTTGTGCATCGCGCTGAACCTGTGGTGCATCATGTGGTGCGGCGACTCACCGTTGTTGGCCGGTTCCTGCTTGATGCCATCCTGCAGCCGACTGCCGGGCGCGTGCAACAGACTAGATACGCTGAACTTTCCGCCGTTCCGGTCGATGCCTTCGTAAGCGGCCGCTGACGGAATATGTTTGCCGCTGTGCTGCACCATGCCGTTGGTCGGCGGCTGCAGCGGCAGCTGGTTGTGACTGCGATTGACGTGCTGCTGCTGTTGCAGTTGTTGGTGGTGCTGCAGTTGCTGTTGCTGTTGGTGCTGCTGTTGCAGTTGCTGGATGTGATGGTGATGGTGCGCACCGGACCGGTGTTGTGGGGTCCTGTTTCCGCCACTTCCGTCGCCGCCGCCACCGGAAGTCGGGGAGGACGACGGCGACAGTATCATGCACGGGATAGACGGCGCGCACACTATGTCCTCGGCGTCCGTCACATTACCATCGCTCCGCCTGTTCTCCTTTTCCTCCTCTCCGTCCGTGCAACCGGCGGCGTCCTGCGACGATTTTGGCACGCGTTTCAGCCGCAGGTCAAGCGGCGACGATGGTTGCGCCGCCGGTCTCACCTTTGTCTCCGGGCTGATGGACTCCGCCTTTTTGGGCTAGAACAACGACGACAGTGTAAGTCAATTATACACTTGTATCGAACACGTTTTTATATCCTAAATAAGGGTTGTATATCTGTTGTTTTTTACAGGCTCATACAGTACAAGGTCTCATTATGTCGATTATCAAGAATAGCAGAAATAAGTTTGAGACATCGAAACTTAGAAATGTTAAGTCGTTTCAAGGTGATATCAATCCCATTCAAGATAACGAATAATTTGACATAATAATAGAATTTTCTATTGGGCTGTGAATTGAATACACTAAATTATAAGATGCCGCGGTATATTAAATACAGCGTGACTTTCATAGTACTAAGTCTTGTGGGCAATAAAAAATTCATATTATAAAGTATTTCGTTATGTAGAATTAAATATATTTGGTTCGGATTTATTTTGGTTACCAAAAATATATCGTTCAACAGAACATTTTGTTGAAAATGGTGCTATCTTTGAGAGTATGTCCTAACCTAATTTTTGCATAGTTGCTGTCTGTTCAAAACATGAAAAAAAAAGTACTTAAATGCGAGAATATTTGAAGACAGTATATATTTATAGTAACAATTTAAAACAAATTTTGATAAAAACTGACTCTTTTTCTTGGAAAAAAAAATCATTAAATTCGCTGTGATATCGAGCAACATCGACAAGTATATGGCATTTGTTTATATTTCGTTTCAGCATAGATTTCGACTTCTCTTGCATAACAACTATTATAGGTAATAGAAACGCCAGAGTTGCTATGATAGTATACTTGGTTCTGAACTTCGTCCAACCGTAACGTTAATGCAATAATAATGATTAGAATATAATATTATAATAATTCACGTGGAAAACGATTTTTGTCAAGTTCTAATCGGGCACGTTTTTCGAAGCGAATCACAAACGAATTTACAATATATAATAAAATATCAGGTGTTATGCGCCACGCGCATAGGGCACATTGACCCTGTGTCACATATATATTATATATGTCAAAATGTTTTTTTCTCAGGTTCACAGCGAGGTTTGCCTAAAAATTAACTTTGTCCTACACGACACACTATTTTTGATGACCATAAGATAAATTCATAATATATTATGTTATACCTATATAATATGATGGTCTCGGAGACCCTCCACGGCGACAAAAAAAGTAAATAGCTGTACGCGAGTGTATGACTTGAAAACCATTCAAGTGGCGCTTTATTGACAAAACGTACCTATCACATCATGTATAGGGTAATCCATAAACTTCCCTACGTAGTGACGCCATATGACGAAAATTACGGTTTTTGTACTGGCACTCGACCTGATAATAATTAAGATTATCACTATTGCCATTACTTACCGGCGAAAAGAATTCTTCCGGCGGAGACTGAGAGTTGTCTCTCTGTATGTTGTCGCTGTTGGCGATCATGCCAAACTTCGTGGGCACCAGTGCCTGCGCGATGGGCTGCAGCGTGCCGTCGGACAGGACGATGCAAGCGGTGTCGGTGGGCGGGGACGGGCCTATATCAGCCGACAACGCGGACAGGACGCTTGCGTTTTGTACGAGTGTGTAAGGAACTACTATGACAGGATTAGTGGGCAGCGCCAGGTAAGTGGGCACCACGCCGGTGGGCGACGGGTTGTTGGGCATCGGCGAGCTGGACGGGGTCGGCTTGACCACGTGCCGCGTGTTGCAGTAATGCGTCTTGTGCGCCTGGTACGTGCGCAGGTTAGAGAACCGGATGTCGCAGTTTTGGCAGTAACGGTCCACCACCGACGGGTCCGCGTTGTCCGACGGACACGGTGGCGATTGCACCGACACCGGAGATATGGAATGCATGCGCATGTGCCTGTTCAAGCTCACCTGCGGAAATACGAGCAGACATTTTAATTTCGATTATATTATATCGCGAGGTTAAGTTCGCGAACCCTGTGAAAGCACTCAATATACTGTATATGATATTATATATAAAAGTACCCTCAAACTGACTTCCCACGGCCACGATATTATAATATTATTAATGTGATGGTCGGGACATGCATTTGTGACTGTATAATCTGTACAAAACTCTGTACCTATATCTAATGCAATAAACAACAATAATAATATGCCCAAAAAATATCAAAGCTTGCTCTTAAAACCATATTATTAAATACATGACATACTTTGAACGAATAATATACGTATCTATATACGACTGACACTACCTATGAGTATAGGTACTATAGGTGGAACTCAATTTTTAATATAATATAATACTACAAATTACAATATAATATGTATACAATTTGCTAAAAAAATGTCCTATAAAATAAAAAAATGATAAAAATTGCATTTATGGATAAAAATGCTATATTATAATAATATAAAGATATGTGAAATAATATTTAATTCAATTGTTGCTATGCCATACCAGACAAAATTTGGTCTACAATCGTCATCATTAATTTAAGAAAAATATATAAAAGTACCCAATATACAACACTATAAATATAGAAAAGTGATGTTTTTATTGATAATAATAATAATAAGTATGCTTTTTAATTATAGGAATATTTTGTCTTGATGAATTGTTTTGACAAGGAATATTTTTATCTATCCATTTTATAGGCACCTACTTTGAAACTATATCATTGATTATATGCATAGACAGGTTATGGTAGTAAATTGAACTTGTAGGTGATTTCTTCGTCGTGGATCAGGCAATAATAATAATTTAGAGTAAATATACAAAGATTTATATTTATTTTAAGAACAAATTTTGATTATCATAGAAAATTGTAAAAAAGTGTGTTTTTAAAAGTAAGAAAAATATCATTTATATAAATATTTAAAATGTCGAATTTTCTACGATATTGGCAGATCCATGATAAAACAATCACTCTGTATGCATGTATTGTGTAAGTGTGTGTATATGGGTGTGTTTGTGTGTGTGTCTGTGTCCGCGTGCAGGTTATTTTCATATAGCTATAACATAGTTATTAGTTGCCCAATTTTTACAACAGTTGTGTAAAAAGTATTATCTAATATTAATCATCCACTACCACGGTTATTTTTAGGCCGTGTTTTAAAATGTAAACTTAATTTGTGAATTATAATTGAAACATAATATCAAAAAAGTTATTCAGCGATTTCAAAACACGTGACTTGTATATTTTCTATAACGTTGACTAATTTAAATATTGATCGATTAGACATGTATTGAAACGTTTGCTAATATACCAATAACCTCATGCCAAGTCATCATGTCTCAGTTAATATCAAAATCGAAGATGATACCACCCAGGATATTGTGTTTTCTCTTTCACGCTCGTTATAATATTATGAACGTATGAATAAAATAAATTATATTATTGCTTTATACATTTATAATTTGTAGCTACTATTATAGCCACTTAACCGAGTAAACAAGTAAACACATTATTTTGATTTTGAACGAAAGCAAATATCAATCCGATTGATTTATGAGTTAAGTACCTATACAATAATATTATATGTAAAACAAAATCGAAAAATTAGTTATTTAGATACAATGATATAATATAAAGAAATAACAAAATGTTCACATCTCTGTGTGTTTTATAGTATGTAAATTGCTGTAATAATATTATCTTTAACTTATAAGCCTTCAGTTTTGGATTTACCGAACGGGATTTAACTACGTTATTATACGTGCGTGAGAAACAAAGATAACAGATCTTGGCATGTCGTCACGTATTTTATTTATCTCTAATATATATTATTTTCTTTGTTTTCATTTCATTTGTTGTGTTTCATAATTATTTTCGGGACTAAGCAAATCGAAGCAACAATAATAATATTATAATGGTCCACAGTACTGGCGAGCAGACTGAGTGTTTTTGAAATTATTGAGACTAGTAAATGCATAGCACAGCATATTATTATTGTTGTCTAGAACGTTCATATTATTATGATTTGTAAATTAGTATTAAAATATCTATGCATTTAACCGAGATAAAAAAACAAAAATACTTTATTTTGTTTGTTACACAAATAGGGGTGTTTTAATTAAATTGTTATCTACCATCAGTTTATATTTTCTCTATTATACATATTGTATTAAAAGGTAATTAATATCTACCCATAATGGTATACATATTATAATGTTTAGCTGGTAACGATATTAAATATGTATTTACTACATTTATCTCTCTTAATAATACAGCATTATGTAGAAAATACAATTTATACAATATGTGCTAGGTATGCCTAAATTCAATGTTTAAACGAAAATTATTTGTGAGATAATTGTACCAACATAACAATGTACAAAATATAATATACAGGGTAATAATGGTATGTATAATCAATTTATTTATTTTAAATTTCTAAATTTACATTATTGCTGTTTGAAAACGATTCAAAAACTTTTATTTCATTTGCAATTTGCATTTTGCATTTTGTAACACAACATTTCTAAAACCATAATATTTAGTTCAATCGTGTTGGTAAACGGAAAACTGGTAAGGTCTTTATAAACGCGGAATACTGGTACGGCCCGCAATAGTCAAGGTGCCCTAAACTTTTATGAAAAAAAGGACTAAAATATCAACAATTATTTTTAATTTTATTTCACCGACGATCGATGGGAAACTGAGATGTAATTATATGATTGTATGTGTACAGAGGATACAGCTGTAGCAGTCGGAAATTTTTCTTCGTTAAAACGAAATATTCGAAATTACCGCCATACCTAGAGAACCAATAAATTCTGATTTCAATATCTCCGAAGAGTGGAAAACTACAATGGGGGCTGAATCTATGTCATTCATAATATTTGTCAGTGAGCAACCTGATTCAATAACTTTGTTATTTGCTTCTGACTTTGCCATGAATATTCCAACAAAATCTGAATCATGGTTTATGGATGGTACATTCAAGTGTTCATCTAATATGTTTTTCAACAAATGTGGGTGATATACTAGGAGAGTATAATATAAGTATCTACTTGTGTGTACTCGTTTGTATCAAATAAGTAAAAAAAACCATATACAACTGTCTTACAAAAAGTCATCATTAAATGCATTCAAGTTCCTCAAGTTTAAAAACAAAAATATGTAATTATGGATTTCAAAATCGCTGCTACGAGTGCAACAAATGACCTGTTTGTTGAAAAAAAAATATTTTGCAAGACAATTACATAACGAACATGAGAGCTTCAAAAATAAAGAAATTCAAATAGAACAATTTTTAAATAATGTAGCAAAGTATATGAAATAATAATTATTAATCATAAATTATATTATATTATATTTATTGTACCTATATTTTATATTAATTTAGCTGCCGGCTACTTTGTATGTACCTATTTGTGTTTTTTGTTCATTTCGATTGCTAACATTATTTTTTTTTGTTTTAAGTATTATTCATATTTAACTTGTTGACGATTTTAATTTATCAAAATTATATTATTATAAACATTGTAAATATTTTAGAACCCCTGACAATTAAATTTTGAATAGTACCAGTTTCCCGCGTTTTTTTTTCTCTTGTTATAAATTGTATGGACCGTACCAATATTCCAAGCATCAATCGTGTTTTTCTATTTTGTATATTATGTTATATTCTTATACATAACCACGCGAACGATGTTAAAATATTTTAAAGAGGGAATGCAAATAATTAAAAAAATTAAATATTTTGAAATTTAGAGTATACATTTATTTTAGTAGGTATTTAGTATTTACATAAAATTTTAGTTTTTGAGAGAATGGCCCATATATTTATTCTCTTTTAAGTTAACCCTAATAATTGTGATTTGGTGAAAAAGCATATCATAATACATTCTAATTGGGAATAAAATATACAGTTGTTACTTTTGACAGAAGTCATTGAAGAAACATAAATTGATACAAGTTAGCTCGAATTTTTTTTTAAACATAATCCTAACAATTTTTGGGTGAATAGGTATCGTTGCTTTAAAATTCACAATACACTAGTAACCATAATCTATTCCACTATTCTTCGCTTAATAAAAGCTAAACATTTTTTTTTTTTTTTGCAAGAAATCGAGTAAAATCAGGGTACCTACCTAGATTTCACCGTTTCAAAGAAGTTACATTTCAACGTTATGGTTATTACAATAATTATAATAAGTAACTTATAACAGTGTGCGCATTATCATATTATATTGCATTGCATATTTATATTATCATCGAATAATAATTAATCGATCATAATCTCGTCCGTCAAAGTCACGAGACGTCAAGTCCAAAAATAAGTAGACACGTACTTTCTTGTCGGCGCTGTACGAACAGTGAGGGCACTTGTACTGTTTCCCAGTTCTCATCGCCTTGGAAGACGGCTCGACGGAAGACGGACGGCTATCCGTGTCGTTGCCCAGAGTCATTTCGTCCGATTCAACGGCCATCGGTAACTTGACGTCGTCCGACTCCGAATCTGTCGATGGTAAATAATTTATCACATAAGCGTAAATGTTAAAATAATATGTTATACGCAGTGGGGTGTCGTCGGCAATCCGGTCACGTGATAATCCGACAAGTCCAGTAATCCTACCACCTTTTTATTTCTTTACATAATAACTACCACAAATAGTTCAGTGACGTAGACGTGGTAGGGGTCTGGAGGGGGGAGCTGCAGTCCTCTTCGAAATTTTAAAAACTATGCTTTCAGAGTTCTATACATTACGCGTAAGCGTTGCAGACCAGGTATATTTAAGTTATAATTTTGTCCGGAGATTGCTGCAAAAATCTAAAATGTTTAGTTAATAAAGAGCCTTAAGAGTGACAAATTATCAGCAGCTCCTCTCCAAGAAAAATCATGGCTACGCCAAGTTTACAAAATCTATAAATTCAACCCGATAAACCGATAATATATTTTATCTGAGAAAATTTGCAAGACCATGTGACCAGGAACATATTGATACCGGGTAAAAAACAAAAAAAAAATTAGATGATTACAATACGATAATAATTATGGAATGTAGTATTTTATGATTAGGTACCTATAATTATATATTATTTACGATACGCACTAAAAATTTCCGTATTGTAGGAAGTTATTTTTTATATGAAACAATAATAATACGAGTATCTTTATGTAAGTAATTATTAATACATTTTAAATTCTTAGCGGAGCTATGGGGAGCAAAAGTTTTTTTCGCGATTTTAAGTAATTTATTATTTTATTTCTACACTTTTTCTATTATAATATGATGATGTCAATATGTCATTTTACGGGGATTTGATCCCAAATGTGTTCTATACCAAAATATACCTATAACTGTATACCAATTGTAGGTCATGTCACTGACTATCTTGGTAATTTAATAAAATGCCTGATATATACTTTAATTCGTATTAAAATTAACTTAAAAAAGAGTTAATAATTTTCATTTTTTTTGATATTGATATTGAACTCTTATAAACTCTTCAAATTGAGCTTTTTATGTTATTAAGAATATTTAAATGTGAATCATGTTAAACTAAAAGGTAAAAAAACTAAAGTCTATTTGAAATAAACTTCATACAAAATTAAAATATGTTTCTTGAAAATTTTCCCGGATTACTGTATATATAGCCTATATAGGTTATCAAATACAATTGACAAAAGATATTTCTATAGGCCCTCCAATTTATTAACAAAATGTATGCCTATAGAATACATAACGTCGTATAACTTAACAGCAATTGTTATATTGTTTATCATACCGAAGTTTGCTCAGAATTGTATTATATTACAGAATGCAATAAAGAAGTGCATCCGATAAGCAGTGGCCTATATACTTAACGATGGTGTAAGTACATTCAAACCCTACAGTATAGGTAGCAATTACTATGCAGCTGCAGATCGAGTATCCCGGTTTTTAATTTTTTAATAAAAAAATTCTAAGAATTCGGAAATTTAAACCTACACCAGTCCCATATAATAATATATTGGAATATCGATGTGATTCTTCCGAACCTACATACTGCACCAAAGTCCGGAAAGTCCGATAAATTTACGAAGACTCTGAAATTGCACCGCAGCGATGCACGTCTACAATATAGGTGCATTCTACGCGTTTCTACGAACTCAACGTTTTTTTTATTTTTTTTTTTCACATATAATACTATATATTATTATATTATTACCTTTTTTGTGTCTGCGCGAACAATAGTACGTCTGATGGGCGTCCAACGTGCTCAGCGAACTGAATCGTATCCCGCACGGATTGCAGATGAATATTTGAATTGCTGCAAACAAATACGCCACAGATATAATATGATATGTGGTGAACGTACGATTTATGATTATGATAATAATAATAATAATAATAATAGTAATAATAATGATAATAATGATAATAATAATAGGCAGGTATCTGTTACAAGCGCGGACGACCGAATACGTTTATATTTTAACGTGTGGTGACATTTTGAGACGGATGGTTTATTTTTATTAACTATTAGCTGAATTAGCCATTTTTCACCTAAAAAACGATACAGCATCAATAACATTTAGCTATCCGTATACTGACGTAGAGAATAATATTATATCATAAACGCATACATTATGTGTATACGCTTACATATTTTGGAATGCAACACGGCTTGCAGTTATTCTACATTTTATTTTATTAAAATTATTATTGTCGTTCGATGTCCGGGAATTTGGAAATAACTACTATACAATTTGATATAAATATGTTCACAAAAAAATCTAATATTTTACCGTTATTTTTATTGTAAATTCTAATCGAGCACTTAGTGTAGAGTATATCAACAATTCGCTGACTAATATTGTAAAAACAATTAGTTAAGAATACGATAAATCACTTCGATAAAAAAAAAATTCGACCTGGAAAATTAGTTTACCGGGTTAGATAGACATGTTTATAAAAATATGTGTGTAATATTATATCAGTACGGATTTTTTTATACAATTTTCTGTGTACTTGACCTAAGTATTGCGTTACTCTATAAATATACATATAGATATATAAGTACATATTCGATATGACGAATATGTAAATTATTAACATCTGTAATTTGGTTGATAGCATTTGGAAATGATAAAAATGTTTTTGAAAATATCAACAGTTTCTAAACAATGCTCTATGCTACTGGCAGTACCCAAAAAATTAAAAACCATCTCAATAAGTCAATTATATTTTAATGATATCGAGACTATTTCATATTGTTTGTGAAATCCGTTTCGCTCAGAACCACTCAAGACCAGGTTTAAATACGAGTATACGACAATATTTTGTGCATCGCGGTGTTTTTGTGATTTTGATTTCGTATTGACAAGAAAACGTTTTTTAAGTGTGTGAAACGTAACAATATTAACATTTTTTGTGTTTAATGATCATATAATATCAAAACTATTTTTGAAAGTTATAACCTCGTGCGTAACTACGTGACAGCCAACAATGGCAAGTTATGGACCTCAACTCAAGTAATAGTTACTTTAAATTAATTTTTACGTAGTTATACTCATACTCAAGATTTGACAATTTAATTTACTTTTTTCAAAACTGTATTAAAATTGCCTATATCAAACCCCTTAAAAAGCGGGTGGTTCCCAATAAAGAGGCGTTTTCAGAAACAGCAATGTTCAAAAAATGTAATATGTTGACCATAATTTATGCATACCTCTAGGCGCGGTAATTGTTACCACGTTATGAGTCGGATCGCCAATCGCCGATGACGACAGCGACGAAGACGAAGACGACGAAGACGACGTGGAAGATGCCGATGATGACGCGGCTGCGGCGGACGTTACTGTCGCCGTAAGCGGCGGTGGTGGGGGCGGCGGAGGTTCGGGAGGTGACGGCTTGTCCGCCGGAGACCATCTGGCCGGGTCGGTAGCCAAATTCGGATTGAGTCTTAGCGTTGGATGCGGGTTGCTGGCCGGTGTTGGCTCTTCCGGTTCCGGTCGCGACGGCGGCGACGGTTGCTGAATTTGTTCTGTTTTCACCTCACATTTTGCAGTCGCGTCGCTACCGCCGACCACTTCCTCGTTCGTCACCCATTCGCTGTCCTCGCCAGCTGTTGAAATCGTAAAAGACAATTTAAGATTAGTTGCACTGACACAAAAGACTGATATGGGTACTTATAATCTATGTATCCGCTGTCACTTATTTTGAGGGGAGGGAAGGGGGAAAGAGCGCTAATATCATACTAAGTAATTTTCACATAATATTCTTATACAACACCGAGAAAATTATATTGTCTGGAAAATTAATTTGGTGTTTAGTTTTATCCACGCAACCTGCATGGCTGCATGCATATGACTTCTACTAAATACTTACACTGCAAACATCAAAATGTAATCATTATTATTGCACGTTCAAACGTCTGTCTTCATATTTTGTGCAACCAACTTCAGTTTTATTTTAGAGGAGCGACAGAATTCACACAAGTATAAAATTATTTGTGAAAATAAAATGTTTGATCACATTTTCGTTTACACGATTATCATAATGTAATCGCGCAAATCATATACCTGCACAAGCCGTCCGCAGTCTTTAAACTTTAATAGTTTTCCAACCATATAAATTATTATATAGATCGTTTTGTGGAATTATACATGTATAGAAACCTTAGTAATAGCGCACCAACCTATAAATATATATTCGCGTCTAGATATATAAGTACAACTAACTCCAGATAGAACTTTTAGGTATATGTACCCACATTAAAACTATATAGTAATGCGGAATAATACGAAATAGAAGTCTCATAGAATTCTATTTTTACTTTGCTAATTCTTACGAATTCCACGATCTTAAACGATGTTCTTGGGACTTACGGAACGAATATATTATTATACTAGGCATATTATATAATAGTGCGGGCTGAAAGCTTCAACGGGAAATATTGGATTTACTATTGTATCGCGTTAGCTTTTGTTTCTTCCGTGGCTTGCGATGTAATAATATACCGTAAGAACATATTATATTGTTAAATTTGTATTGAAAAGAAATAATAAACGTCCAAGTGTACCAAAAAAAAACTTAATTATCGCAATGATTTTTTTTTTAAATTTCTTATGTCGATTTAAGACCGTCTAGACGCGTCTGCAGAAATGATCGGTGACACATAAAAAAAGTCACCACCCAAGGTGATAAAAAATGTCCCCCTGCCCCGTCTGTCGTTTGAGATTCACGCATCATATTTTATTCGATTACTCGACGTGTGAGATTCCGAACCACCGAAATAAAGATCGAGCACGACTTAAGCACACGTGATGATGATAATAATAATATTATTATTATAATTATTATAATAAACCGCGACGAAAGTTAAATAATATAATATTATTTTATTATTATTATTATTATTATTATTGTTGTTGTTGTTGTTGTACCTACCTGTTGTACACGCTGCAATCTGTTTGGTCGACAATTAGTAAGCCGTCGATATATAATAATATGTATTATAATAGGCACACGGAATACGAACCTATAAACCGCGTTGGCTATTGTCTCGAAAGCCATCCAACCGGTTTGGTATTCGGTTCGACGAGATGATATTTATCTATTATATGATATTCATACAAATGTTCGATACGCGAACGATAAGACAAAAGTTTACCGAGATTTTCGTTTTTGTTTTTTTCCACCCGTTCTAAACGACTCTAATGCCTATATATATATATATATTGTATTATGTACATTTTTTTTCTTAATAACGCGCAAAATCACATTGTGCCCGTTTACTTGCAATATGCCATATTATACCTACCGATCGTTCATATTTTTTTTGTTTTTTACCAAACGATATTTTCCGAGGAACTTGGACGGATCGTGATTGGCTCTCAAACAATAGCCGATTAAAAATGAGTGTGTGCGGCGAGATACCTACGACATACATATATATATATACATATGTATACATAATATTATGTACATATATATTATTTATATATAGTATTTAAGATGTTACTTAAGATACGCGACGAGTAATCTAGATGATGGAAACTATGCTAGATGCCGTTAAAACTCCATGAACAACTAATTAAAAACGAATTTATGTACACGCGGCACACGGTCGTATAGCATAGAATATCGTTTGGAATCTATATGCGCCTATAACGTGAATAATACAATATTAATCGTAAATAGCGATTTTCATTAGGCTAATGCGTCGCCGTGGAATTTTTTTCTATGTAAATAATTATTGGGTGCCATCAAACGATCGAAATATCATTAACGAAACATTTTTGTAATTTTTCTATATAGGTATTTGTGGTTAAGAAAAAAATGTATATTTTATACAGGCACGTACAACATGTTCACGTTCATAAGACTAAAAAAAAAAATATATATATAAGCCACGATACCACCAAAGTGGATATGCGTTCCCATTGGGGGAGGGGGGGGGGTGATTAGGGGCCCTATCCTTCTTGCACGAATGATAATAATGTGAATAATACAATTTGATTATACGAGCGTTATTGTAATATGGTTATTTCTTTAAATTTTTTTTCTGTATTTATCAAAATGCTTTTAGCTGTTTATACAATAAGTATAGCTGGTATTCATTATTATTAGAAGAAATGGAATGTAATTGCTTATTATTTACATTCGTATAAAATGTTGAAATAACACTAAACATATTTATTTAGTTTACATTGAGAAAATTCTTTTTTTTTTAGCCCCACGTCTAAAATGTTGCCTATAAGGACACCCATGATTTTGTCTCTCGAAATATTTCCAGTTTACCTACCTATATGAAAATATGGTGTGTGAGTAAAAAATATATAATATATTAATAATGTATGCATCCACACAACCCGTTAAATCAATATAATTTAACGTCTGATCAATAATAAATATCACAATAACGTATAATACATCGGATCGATATATAATAATGCGACGGAGTCGACCGCAACAATAATACGTGTCATCGTATTCATTCATCATTTCGTGTATTACAATTATTAATTTATAATAACTTATGTTTTATTTATAGGTAATATGCGCAAAAACTCTATACTAATCGCACTTTGAATTCGGGGGAGGGTTTGTTGCACCATACTTGCCTAACCGTAATTGAAATGATTGCCCGAGTTTGCAGGAATTAATATTTGTGCATTATATTTATGATTTTCTAATATTATTATTATAGTTGTGCAGCTGGAGGGGGGATTTGTTTAAATTTTGTTTTTAGCAATATACAATTTTTTAGAAATACTTCAGGCTTAGGAGAAGGAGGCGATCCCAAGGACCTTCCTTGCGCCGACTGGTACGCTTCGAAAGTTCGAATGTATTTCGTAAAATAATAGAAAAATGCGCCGATGAGATGCAATGGAGTGTATTCGATACCGAGCGTTTTTTAAGGAGTTTAATGTACATGCGCTTATTTAAGAAGATTTCACACTTAAGTTTTTTAGAGCAAAATATTAGAGCTATACACGGCGTTACTGACTTAACTCAACTCCGATGATAACTTTTAAAATATTTTTGGATTTGTTTTTAATTCTATCTTTTGAATCTTTAGAGAATTTTTTAAATTATTTAAAACTATATTTTTACATCGAAATTTCTAAAAAAAAAAAGGAGATTTTTTCTTTTTCGAAATAATAAATGATAAATGGTGTCTTGAGGGATCCCCAAAGTTGCCTATAAACGTCAAAATAAAATCTGTTTTCAAAACTACTATCGGGATAAAACTCGATTCGCTGTACGTAGGAACTAGATTAAAATATGCAAAATGGTATTTTTAAGTTGAACATCTCAAAAAGTGGAAAAATCATGTTCGAGTAGGTACCTATATAATAATAAATACATCAAACATGATGTTTTCAGACTTTGATCCGTGGTTATAAATTCTAGGATGGTATTGTATGACAAGTATACCTATACTAGAGTAATTGTCTCCAGTAAGTGGACAATATCGACATCATATTTGATGAGTGTGTTGGGGCAAAAAACTGCACACAGCCGGGATCGAATCTCCTACGTATACATTAACGCTCGAGAAATAAGGCCTCGTATTTTTGAAAAACTCTCGCACACGTGTGGGGCTCGCGCGACCTGTACATAGGTAATAATATCATATTTTTACGTGTCGACAAATTTGGAATTATTTTTTACCAGTCGATTCGATTACCCATTACGGAAACACACCTGTACCGACTGCTGCTGCAGATACACCAATTGCAGCCGGTGTTTTTTTTTTTCATTTATTGTAAACACGCGCGTATCGGCCATAAGACGACGACGATACACATTAAATATACCTACATATTATTATTATATTGTAAAGATAATAATAATTATTATTTTACACAGGTGGGTTGGGCGCGGGTACACACACACACCGAGATAAGATAACGAGCGCCGACCGTGCGATACCGTGTACGGTACAGGTAAACGCGTTAGCTATGGTATAGCACTAAACACAATAATATTGTAGATATACATTGTTGTAACAACGCGGCGTGTGTTGTATCGCTCGTACGGACTTGTAACATACGTTCGGTTTCAGACGTTTATTGTTTTTTTTTTTTTTTTAAGTATATTTTAAATTGTAAATTATATATTTTTTCAAACGAACATTATTGTTCTTTTGCCACCTCCGCTCCGAAACGCGCGCCCGCCAAACACGGTTTTTCTTTATTTTTACTTCGAGTGCTGGTGTTACTTATTATATTGTTTTTTTTTTTATTATTATTATTATTAATTTTATCTAATCGCGTCGCGTCGCGAACGCGCAATGATACGAGGCGGGCGATAAGCGTTGAAATTTCCACGTTTGAAAAAAAAAAATATACACGTTAGCTATTCGCGATTTTAACGGTATAGGTACACAGGATTGCATTAATAACAAAATGTTAGACATTAATATACATAATATGCAATAATAATTCACTAGCCGCATGAATGGCACACGGGGATGCAGGAGACCGCACTGACGACGGCCGTGAGTGGGACGATGTGGGAATGCGGTAGACGGAGAAAAAAATATGTTTATGTCAAATCGACTAATAATAAATAAATAAATAAAACGTATCGCAAAATGCTCGCGTCGCGTAATTC